ACCTCACTTTCTAATAAATTGTCCCCTGCTTGATATTTTCCACTCAGAAGAATTTTCATAAAATCTCCCACATGATGCTTCCACATTTTTCCAATCATGAATAATTAAAGCATTATATGGTTGGCAGGGAATATTCTTGAAAATGACTGGGGAAGGGGGAGGGACATGTGGAAAAAAACAAAACTCAAAAATTTAGACCTCTCCCCTCACGCTCCACTGTCTTTATTTTTTTCCTTAAATAGAAGGAAGGCAGAAATGGGACAAATGAAGCAAAACAGTCAAAAGGTTGCAGTGAATCACTTCTTTCATCCTGAAGTTCAACACAGAGATGTGTGGATGTCAGTCCATGTCAGTCTTTTGCAGTAGCCCAGAGAGAAAAACCAACAACATGAGTATTAACATCACCTTTATTGAATGGTTACAGTGAAATAATATTGCAAATCTGAAAGCATTTCTCCCCTCCCTTGTCTTTCCAAGCTAGAGAACTAGTGAGGATCTCTTCTGAGACACTTTTTCCACCCTTGTGTCTTCTTCTTCTGATATCTCTTGTCTGACTGTCTTCCTCCTCTCTTCCAAGGTTATTCTGAAAGTCCATTACAATGCATATATCAAGAGATTCATACTTTGAATAATGAAAGATCTTGAGAGTCCCAACTTGTGTAATATTGAGAGGAACTCTTTGGGATCTTAACAATCCACCCAAATGTATGATGTCTACCCACTTTCTATCTGAAAATCAAACAGCAGTTTAGCTCTTGTAACTCACAAAGATTAGAAGAATTGTCCTTTAACAAAAAGTACCGTAGTACTTTTTTAGATGTTTTAAAATTCTACCATATTTTCTGGTATTGATCTTTGGATTTGAAAATATGTTCTCACATTGATCTTAACATCAAATGATGCTCAGTCGTATTATGGCACACCCATAACAACTTACTCTGATGGCTATATATTATCTCCAATATTAGAGGCACTATGTCACTCAAACCAGTTGCTAGGCAACATGAGCAGAAAAGTGCTATTACACTATTATTTTTGAAAGCTTTCCAATGATATCACCACTGTGGAAATAGAATTAGATATCCCTGAGATCAAATCCAGGACATCTTTCTTATATTCTGAGGTATTTTTATTCAACAGGTTTCCCAAGACTTAAGGTCACTTTGAACACCCTATATCTTACAAAATGTCTTTTTTACCAATTTCTTTAAAAATAAATACAAATGCCATGTGCTCCAATTAAGCCTAACAAATAATATGTAAATAGAACACTAAAGAATAGCAAACCATCCATTTTGAAAACATTAGTTTCTAGTCTCCATATATGTTTATTCATTTGCCACATTATTATTTATCATTATTAGCTAGGAGACCACAATATTATTGCAGCGAAGTAGTTAGGCTGCCAATTTACCAGCTCTGTTGTAGAACATGTTTGTGTGCTTCCCAAGGTGTGCCAGAGGAAGGCAAGCTGGCTTTGCACCAGAAAAAAAGACGAGCAGCTTTTTCTGCAGCAGCATCCTAGGTCCCCTCCCTGGAGCAGCCTTGTATATGGGCCCCACAACTGGGAAGGTTCAGAGCCAGCAGGAATCTAACTGCCTGCACAGAGCACAAACTCACCTTCCCATAGAGGTAGTGCTTATTTATCTACTTGCATAGAAAATGCTGTCAAACTATTAGGTAGAAAGCAGCTGAGGCAAGTGATGGGAGTTCACCCTGACACACAATGCTAAAATATGAACCACTAGAGCAGGGGCCATCTTCAGTCTCATTAAGGTTATTCAGCCACGGTGCCTCTACATGCACTCATGAGCCTTATGAAGGCAGTATAAGCAGACCTTTGGCTGTCCTGTGCTGTAACTTTTCCCAGCAATTGTCCCACTCTTCCTTCCGTCATTTTAATGGTTTTCTCCATCTTCAAAAAAGCAAAGCAAAACTCCTTCTACATTGAATTTCTGCAATAGTCTCAGAATACACATTGAATAAAGCTATGGGTACATGAAGGTCATTATAGAAAGCATATGTACAATTTTGTTACAGATAAATTTTGTTCCTAATCTCTTAAATGCAATGTTTATACTTGAATCCAAATGTCAATGATTTTATTTATATTTACTTATTAGATTTCTATCTTCCAAGAGCTCTAGGCAGCTTACATGGGGATCTCCTTTTATTTTGTCCCCATAAAGGCAATTCTGTGAGATAGCTCGATCTGAGAGACAGCAACTAGCCCAAGGTGATCCTGTAAGTTTTGAAGTCTGAAGGCAAAAATGAAGTTAATTCTCTCCCATTTTACTCTAATACTTTAAACTACAATGACTCTGTTTTAGATGTTTTAGGACTGTTTCAAAAAGATAAACACGTTCATTTAGCCATCCTTTTATGTATTTGTTTTAAGAAAGTAACTTTTGGTAGGGTGTGTGTTAAACATTGCTCTAGATTGTTTTCTAATCGTCAAAAACAATCAGAATCATGTTCTACAGATCAAGAGTTCAATAAGTCCTTTAACAGAACAGATATAGCAGAGTAAACTGCAGATCATCCCACTCTGCAGTAACCCATTCAGTTAGAGTCATTACCTGATCTGTAAACTAGATCAACTTTCTTTAACCCACTATTGCAATTCCCAAGATTTTTAGAAATTGAAATCAATTTATCTGAATGATGTTCAGATTGCAAAAGGCTGATTTAAAGGATGACTCTTTTATGGCTTCATTTAAGCCTTACCCATACAAGAATTTGAGCTTCAGAAATGACCATAGTTTTTTTTAAGACTACAAACAGAAATGGAGCCACAAGGTAGTCAGATCCAATCACCTTTTAAAATAATCAATGGACCACAGCTACTTGATGTAATAATACTGAGGATAAATTCAATTGGCAAACTGCAGTGCACTCTTCATGGTCCTTTAGTTACTTGGTCTTTCCTTGACTGTACCACAGTGGTTTCCAACTTTTCTGATTCCACAGATTAGTTGTGGCAATGGGAGCAGCGACAGGGGAAATGATTTTGCTCATGCAAGCTAAATCCTGTACACGTGCAAATGAAGCTTTGCGTGTTCACCCACCATTTGCACATCATGGACCTGTACTGATCTGTGGAACTGCTGTACCAAACCTCATTGTAAATGAACCAATTTCCTTATGGCCCCCTGCTGAACCAGGGTAGTTGCCACTGGGCTTAGATAGATAGGAAGGCAGGATTTAGGTGGGTTTCTTAGCTTTCCATAGCCTGTTAATCTTCATCCACAAAATATTTTTTTCTCTAGAAGACAATCAAACTATAAGTCCTAGAACATAAGCAACTAGGGAAGTAACTTGTTAAACTTGTTAAAAGGGCAAAGCAAGTTGTAGAGCTACCTCGGCCTAGAAATTTGAAAAATAAATTATTCCCAAATATAAATCTTGTAAATCAGTTGTAAATCTTGCCCAAAAGTGTGTGTGAATCCAGAACAGAATCATCTAATTTAATCTTCTAAATTTAATCTTTCAATAGCCTAATTTAATTTTAGTTAAACATGAACGTAAAAGGCCAAAAGGATTCTTATTTTTTAAAGATCACCTTGCAATACATGGATTTGATTTAAGAACACAGGTTCCAATTCCTGAAAGAGGGAAAATCTCCATAAAGGGAAAAAATATTACTACTGGAATCATGACAAAAAAAGTCCCCCAAAGTTAATTGTAACTGGAGTCCTCAACTGAACTATCTTCAAATAGAAACATACGATAAATAGAACATCTTAAAAAAACATCTTAAAATTTTACATTTCAGTATTTAGAATCTAATTTCAAATTTATGATAATCTATCGAGCTAAACGATTGTCTCTGCATTTCTGACTGCAAAGACCAATTTTTCTTTAAGCTTGGAGAACATTGGGGATATGTGCCTTAGCCTCCAATTTGCTCTTGGCCCATGGTGAGAAAAAAAAGCCTTTGCAACTATTAGCAAAGGTATAACAACAGTGTGATTAAAACCAAACAGATAATAATTGTGGAACATAAAATGTTCCAAATAAAGACTAAAATGAGGAAATGAAAACTGGTAAAAATTCTAAAATATAGCTAATACTTCCAGTTTGAACATTTCTGAATTTGGTCTCAGTAATTTTTAAAAAAAAACCCTGGAAATCATAATTTCACGAGAGTACTTCAAAATTATTATATATTTACAATGCCTTCATTAAATTATAATATATATTTGCAAAGAATACACTAATCTGAAATATACTTAAATCTGTAATACAGTTAATCCTCAATTTACAACCACAATTGAGCTGAGCTTGACATTTATGTTGTCGAGTGAGAAATTTGTTAAGTAAATTTTGTCGTATTTTATGACTTTTCTTGCCATATTTGTTAAGTGAATCCTGCAGTTGTTAAATTAGTAACACAGTTGTTAAGTGAATCTGGTTTCCCCATTCACGTTTCTTGTCAGAAGGATGCAAAAGGAGATCAAGTGACCCCGGGACACTGCAACTGTCATAAAAGTGAGTCAGTTTTCAAGCATCCAATGTAAATCACATGAGCATTGGAATGCTTCAACGATTATAAGTGTGAAAAATGGTCTTAAGTCACATTTTTCAGTGCCATTGTAACTTTGAATGGTCACTAAATGAACTTTTGTAAGTCGAGGACTACCTGTATATAGATAACTTGTGGAAATGAAGCGACTGGAACCTTAATCATTGGGTAAAAAAACATCATTTCACATCATTGTCAGAAACACATCTCAATAAACTTGGGCTTTAAGGAAACAGAAACGCTGTATATACAAGAAAGCATCCAGATAACATTTCTGGATTGGTTTGGTCTAGGACAATGTTTCTCAATCTTGGCATGCAGCCTAGGGAATTCTGGGAACTGAGGTCCACACATTTTAAAATTGTCGAGAAACACTAGTTTAGGAAAACATTATTTGCAAATCTGTCAGGACTGGATTAAATCCTATTGCTGTCAAGAGAAAAATAATTTTGTGATAGAGAAAAGTTGCTCTTACCTGATCCCGGATCCTGTCCTGTTGTCCTCGAATTGCTAAGGCATGCTGTGGGTATTTATTCTTTAAGTGGTCCATGAATGCATCCCTCTTGCGTTCCATCTCAGACTTCTGGAGCCCTGTGAGGGCTTCTAGACTCTGGGCAGCAATGACAGTATGACGACGTTCTGAGGTGTGCACCAACCCTACGTTGGAGAAGCGTCGTGTGCCGTTGCCCAGGGTGCGGTATTCCCGTGGATATTCTGCATCATCTGCTGAGATCATGTGGGCGCTAGTCCTCTCAGGATCTACGCAAATTTTGGAGGAGGGAAGGAAAGCAGAGAGGGAGTCAGGGCATCTTTCCACTTATCTCAATAGTAAAGAAAAGGAATCAGGGACGCTTGATGGGAGAAATTTAGTAAGGGTAAGAAGAAGAAAAATCAATCATGGGCTTAAATTGGGTTTCCATTATATTAGATCCTCACTCCCAATCCTGGATAGGGCGAGCCAGAAAGAATGCCAACTAGCTGCTCACATGAATTTCATTTTGGTAAGTAACCAACTATCTCACCCATGGAATGAAACGTTTTATTTTGCATTCTCATTCCAAGATGTAGACAGCTTCTGCACAAAGTCACATACATTTCTGACTTTTAAAGTCATGGGCAGATTTTAGGTTTTTTCAGATTTTAGGTTTGGGCCAAAATAGATTAGAAATTGTGGAACAAAGAGTTCATTCCTATCACTTTTGACTCCAAAGTGATTTCCAGGAAATTTCTAGGATGAAAGGGAGAAAATGTTTGTGGGAATAGGGGCAGAAAAGGCCGTCATCCTTGAAAAAGACAAGACAATAACAGCAAGACAGGTACTGGGGGGTCACAAAGACATCAAAACTGCTCCAAAGGAGCTAAAATTAAAACATAAATGGTCAAAAGACTTTAATAGAGGATGACGGCCCAAGTACCCCTTCTCTGCAGAAGAGGTAGGAAGTGGGCAAAGACAGACAAATATTCTGAAACAGCAAATACAAAAAGAAAAAACTGAAAGAAAACAAAAACAAAATGCAGATTACTTATAGGAAAGGAGGTTGTAAGGAGTACTTCTCTGAAGTAAAGAAATACATAATTTCTTAAAACAGGAACACTGGACTTTTGTACCTGCTTCCTCAAAGGGAAGAGTTATTCAGCTCTTATGAGAACAGAGCTAGGCCCCCAAACACCCACATTTCTATCCCAAATATTTTTGCTCATACCAATGGGAGGGATCCATAAGTCTCATAAACTAGCCAGATATAAAAAATTATCTCACTCGTCATCTCAACTCCCCCGCTGAAATAAACAGCTTCTATAATTATAGTAGTGATATAAAAAGATATTGCAGATTTGTAGATAGATGACTGCTTTAGTGACAATGCTATAATGTGGGGAAAAGCAAAAGTAAACTATGATTATATTTTACTAAGAAAACCACACAGATTAAAAAGAGAGAGCAAGAGAGAGAAAGTGATTGATGACATTGTGCTGACTAATGGGCCCCTCAATGTGAATGGCATTCAATATGATAGTGAGGAAGAGCTGAGGTCTTTCAGAATATTAATGGTATTTATTATGCATCTAGATTAAAACCTTTGGGATGTCTAGTTGATATTGCTCCTATGAAGTTAAAAAATGTGAAGCAATAGAAATAGATTGTGAACATAAAATATAAGAAAAATGAACATAAGAATAGTCAAGACAGTGAAATATAAAGTGAATTGATTACACACTTACATCTTAGGCACCAGCAAATTGGACTGAAATCAGACATTTTCATTCAGTTCATAATGTTTACTAAGGGCCCAAAAAAACCCACTGCTTTCATAGTCAGAAAGGATATCAAAGGCAGGACCTGGGCACAATGCAATCAATGACTAGTAATAACAGTTAAACTTCATGGACAACCCTTTAATGTGATGGTTATCCAGGTTGATAGTCCAATCATTGAAGTTGAAGAAGAGGTTGACAAGTTTTATGGTTAAATTCAATCTGAAATTGGCAGAATATGCAAACAAGATGTATTGCTTGAGGGTAAAACACTGGAATGACAAGTAGGAAATAGTAAGGAGAAAAACATAGACAGTATGGCCTTAGAAAGAGAAGTAAAGCAGGGAATGACTTACAAGTTTCTGCCAAGCCAATTATTTCTTCATTGAGATTATAACGGATTCAAAAAATATCAAACAAGGAGGGAAAGAGTTTGCTGAACTTCTAGAAGGTATACTAGAAGGTAGTCCAGACATGAAGAACACCCAGATGAGCTAATTCTTCTTTATGGTTATAGTAACAAAATCTTGCAAGTTGAAAGCACATTTCTCACTTGCCTTTACAGCCCAAGAAACTAAGGAGGGTCATTCTAAGACATTTGCCATGTCCATGTTTCTGCTTCAGGCTAAGCTGCCTCTTATTGAATTATTACCTTGAACGTGACATTTCCCTGTCTCCCAAGGTTATTCCCATATACCGTTACAATACCTTAGAAGATGCTATCTATTTTGAAGAAACTCTAGTGATAAACAATGATCTTAGATCAGCATTCTGGTCATTGTCAAATTAGAAATAGGGCAAACTACAGAAAAAGAATAAGTAAAGGTTGTGACCAAATCACACCAGCAAATCTAGAGAACAATCCAGTGGCTGACAAATCAATCAAAATACCAATACCAAAGAAAATTAATTTGACAGAGTATGCAGTTTACCACACAATGTCCTTAATTTTTTTGCTAGCAAAATAATGTTTGGACATTATGTGATAAACTGCAAAATAATGTTTGGGATTAGAGTATTACATGGAAAGGGAGATGCTAGATGATCAAATTGGTTTTAGAAAAGGCTGAGGAACAAGTAATATTATCATTGATGTATGCTAGATAATTGAAAAAGCCAAGGGATATAAAAAAGAAGTAAATATATGTTTTATCGATTGTAGAAAGGCCTTTAATTTTGTCAATAGTGTAATGTCCATAGGAAAATGAGAATTTCAGAATATCTCACTGGCCTTGGGCAAAACCTATAAACATGATAGGAAACCACTGTTTGGACAGAACATGGCAAAACAGACTGGTTCTAGTTTGGCAACAACTAACTTTTATTATTCTATTATTATTATTTATTATTTTATTATTTATTTATTCTGAATACCATATTTTTCAGAGTATAAGATGCACCTTTTTCCCCCCAAAAAGAGGGCGAAAATCTGAGTGCATCAGGCTCCGACCGAGGTAGCAAAGACACAGGGGGCTTGCCAGGAAGCCCGATGTTTACAAGATGGCAGCATCCAGGAGGACTGAAGTGCTGCGTCTCTATCAGGCCTTGCTGCGAGAAAGCCAGACTTTCAACGCCTATGGCTATAGGTAGGAAGACGGGGGCGTCTTGGGAGTAGAGCCTTCGGTGCCAAGTCCCTCTTCTGCCCCCATGAAAATCATCCCCCACCCCACCCACTCTAGTTAAATGCGCATAGAGTGATAGGGTTTGTTTTAAACGGATAAAAAGATCTCATTATCAAAATCCGAGTGGAAGTGAGGACACCGCTGATCCTGATGCTGGTAGGCAGAGGCAGAATTCTTTTTTTCTTGTTTTCCTCCCCAAAAATTAAGGTGCATCTTATAGTCCGAAAAATATGGTATATATTGAAGAAGGCTTATTTGAAGAAGATGAGGAAAAAGAAACATCAATGCCTCTTCTGTGCTTATGACTCTGATAACTGAAAATGTAAATGGGTCTGAGATTAAATATAAAGAACACCAGACCCATGACAATAAGTACAGCTACCAGCCTGAGAACTGACAATAAAGTTGGAGTAGATAAATTCTACCTTTCGCAGCACAGATAAAGAAATATATCAAAGACTAGGATTTGATAGGATAGCAATGAAATCCCTGCAAAAAAGTATTGAGATGCCTTTGACATCTACAAAAATTAGAATGTTTGTGGAGTCCTTGGTGCTCCCTGAACTTGGTTGTTGGTTCATGTATCAAAAAGAAGCCATAGAATGGTTTCTTCATGGCTTAACAGGTAGAAGAAACCAAGTCATTATGGTCTGCAACCATGGTTTTTGTTTTTGGTGTTTTTTTTTTTTTGTTTTGTTTTTTTGCTTATCTGGAATTATCCTTCTCTCGGGGTGAATATGTGGGAGCATCTATAATATTAATCTTAGATATTTTCTAGCTTTCTTTGGCCATTTTAGCTCTGAAGGAACCATGAATGATTAGGGTACTGTGATTCGTTTCTTAAATTCAGTTACTGACTTAAAGTAGGCTACATTAATCAATCCTACTCAATGAAATCAGACTGATGATTCATAAGAATATTTCATGCCATTAGACAGGGTGTCACATTGAAGCTAGTCTGATTTTGATTAGTAATGTATCTAGTATATCCATCGAAAGATAGTTAAGTAAGCCATGGCTCAGTAAATCATTGCTAAGCCTAAAAGTAGGTATGTGGAAATTCTCAGTCATCCAGGCCTTTGGGGGGAAAAAGCATCTTTGAGACAAGCCTAGAAGTATGAAACCAGCTTCTGTTGGATGCTGCAATGCAAAAGGAAACAAGGCCATGTAAAAAGATTGAAAAGATGTTTAGTGTATTAAAATGAAATTAATTGTTTTTTCAGGTTATTTTAACATAATGTTAAATACTAAGTGATCTCTTTCTAGGGAGGGAGGGAGGAAGGAAGGATGGCTGGAAGGAAGGAAGGAAGGAAGGAAGGAAGGAAGGAAGGAAGGAAGGAAGGAAATTTGTGCCAACGCAGGCTAGGTTCATACAACATACCAATAAACTAAGTTAAAATGGAGTTAAGTGGCTTGAGGTTCAGTGTTTTGTGGAAATATTCAGCTGTTCTCTCAGAATGTCATGATAACCATCTTTTTGAGACATTGAAAATGAGGATTTGTAAGTCTTATCTGGATAGTTGTGGGGCCTTTTTCTCTCTCACTATTTCACCATGTGTATCTAAAAATAATATGCTTCTAGAAGAAGATAGAAGTGCATCACTATTTGTTCAAAGATCGTATCATTTACTGTGTATGCTTAGATATAACATGGCTATGTAAACACATGAACTATGCAATCACTCTAGTTTAAGATTTATCATGTTATCTAAATCCAACCCACTGTCCCATATATTCAAAACTGCCCTTATGAACATTACATACCAAGATGGTGACAGGACAAAACAGAGGGAAGCAGGTGACATGGAAATCTGTTGGCAGTGAGTAACTGAAGGGGAAGATCAGTGAACCACAATTCGTATAGCCATCCCTTAGTGCAGGGGT